CAACAGGCAAAACAAGAACATAAATTTTGGTCCCTCCTCCCTCTGGCTCTTTATCTTTATTTAGAGAAACAAAAACTCTAGCTCTTTATTTAGGGAAACAAAAATAGATAATGGGGACCAATAGACAATTCCCTTATTACAGACTAATTTTTTATCTTAGCAAAAAAAGTATATTCCCGGGAAGGGCATACTAAAATTAGTAAAATTGCAAAGTTTGGTTGCAAAATGTTGTAAAATGTAGAAAATATAGCCTTCTAAAGTTTGCAAATTTTGTACACTTTTGTATTGCAATTTTCGCATGCAATACAAAAGTATACAAAATTTGCAAACTTTGCAAGGCTATATTTTCCGTATTTTACAACATTTCGCAACCAAACTATGCAATAATTTACTTATTTAAGTATGCTCTTTCTGGCTGTGGTGAATTATTTGCATCAAGGCCGGATTTTGAGGCGAGGTGTGGATAGGTGCGCACCTCCCCTGAGATCGTTTTGCACCTCTCCTGAAAGGTCATACACCTCCCCTTGGGAAAGTTTCAATGATGGAACAAAGTGAAAATGGGATGGTTGCTTAGGATCTACACTTTGTGACGTAAGAAAGTTTTCTCCGCAAAATTGAAACAGTGATAGTCATTCATCTCTGTGTCAGGTACCCTTTTAATGCAATGTTTTGAAACAAACTTTGTAGCAATTGAAATGAAGGGCAAGATTGGAGTCGTACAGTCATAATTCATTAATACACTGGTACATATGTACACTACATGCATACCTCACCTCGTTGATATTGGGGGGTTGTGAGCTAGACCGCTGCACCTCCCATAAAATTTTTTCCACCTCCCCCACTGTTTTCACCAAAATCCGGTCTTGATTTGCATCTCTTTGCCTAGTCTATTTACATGAACATAAGAGACTTTTTATTTGGCTTCCATTTATGAATATTAAAGGTCTATAAACATTGTTATTTGTTGTTAAGTTGTTTTGTGATACATTTTTAAAACTACTAGTGTTTTTTCAAACTGGTATATCTTTTCAAAGCCCTCCTTCTTTCGTCTCTCTGTATTTTTTCGACCCCCCCCTTTCAGGTTTTAAAAAATTTAAAGCCCCCCCCCCCAGTTTCTTCTCAATCCCCCCCTGTACAATAAATAATGAGCGGTCCCTTAGTTGTGTTTAATTCATAGAAATAATACGGAATAAAAGGCGAAAATTGTCTGCGATTAGCGGATATATAGCTTCGATCTATAGCGTGGTTTAGCGTGAAAGAACGCGAAAAGGCAATGAATTTGCATACACAGCGAAAATCATAGCTATTTTAAAATTAGCGCGCTAGGAACTAGGAATATTATGGTTATACATGGTCACAGTGACCGCGGATACTATCATACGAACGGACGGATGGTGGATCTGCGTTTTTTCTACGACTTAACCATGCATCGCGCCTTTAAAACCTTGACAGATGCGTAAGTAACCGTTACGTTTTCAGCAAATCGCACCAGTTTTCTTAGAACACCACATTGTATTATTTTTTCAAGGTTATTACTCAACAAGTGCTTTAATTTTGGATAACGTCGTCATGAAAGGGGTCTGTGTCACTACTCAAGAATAACAATGTTATAAGTCCAAATATGAAATAATAAGGGACTTATCATTGACGTGTTTTTGAAACAGCAAACCGCTAGCGATTACGTGACTAGATTCCTGCGGTGGAATTTGTGGTAAATTTTCAGGTTTTAAACGTTTGTGGTAAGTAAATGATGGTAAAAAATTAAATTCGTTAGAAAAGCTTCTTTATTCTTTCCCAGTCCCCCGCGCAGCCTCCTTGCGGAAATTCTATGTTTTGAGTTATTATTATTATTATTATTATTAAAGTCTTTATTGTCTAGAGCCACAACAGACGTGCAACTTTACAAATGTCAAATTCCTATTTGTTACAGTTAAAAAAATTGATCTATCCTAATTATAAAGTTTGTTCGTTCACTGCAACCAGGTATATCAATCATGTTTCGCTCGCTACTCTGGTTTAAATAAATGATTACAAAGCCCAGTCGAATTGTAATCAAGACCCAACGTTTCGACACTCCAGTCTAGTGTCTTCATCAGGGGTGATCTAAAACTGCGATCGGGGCTTCTTAAATACCCAAGGGATGACGTCACCTGTCAAGAAGATGCATATATTCTTCTGGCAAATAGGCGCCGTCATCCCTATTCAGAGCATGACGACTCATATTTATATGCCACGCTTCTAGGCAAAGTCTTTGACCGTAGCGATTGTTTGTGGTAATTACTTTAGAGTTTTCCCACGCAATCTCGTGTTTGGTGTAACATACATGTTCGGCTAAAGCTGATTTTCCCTTGTCTAAAGTTGAAACAGCCTTTTGATGTTCTTTTAGCCGTGTACCAAACTGGCGTTTAGACTGACCCAAATACTCTTTATCGCAGTCACCGCATGGTATAGAATATATAGCATGAGTCTTCTGATTTTTTTCAACAGGATCTTTTGGCTTTGCGAAAATATGGCCTAAGGTCAAATAGGGTTTTAAGGCAACCTTAATATTACAATTACTTAAGATTCTCTTGATTGGTTCTGTGACACCTTGAATGTATGGAACTATTGCAAAACCCTTAACAGAGGTATCACCCTCGGAGTTATTTTGGTTCCTACAAACAGGTGGTCTCAGGCAATCATTAAGAAAACGCTTTGGGTAATTGTTTTCCCCTAAAACATTTAGAACATATTCACGTTCATTAGCTTGAGAATCACTGTTTGACAGCAACGATTCAGCTCTTTGAAGCAAAGTTTTTGCTACGGATCTTTTATGGCTTACTGGGTGATGAGAGTCGTATGACAAGTATTTGTCTGTGTGTGTGGGTTTGCGATAAACATCAGTCTCTAACTTCCCTTCGACAGTTCTGTGTACATTCAAATCTAAAAAAGCTAAATGTCCATTTATTTCACGTTCTACCGTGAATTGGATGGACGGCTCAATAGAATTTAAATGTTGCAGCAGAATATCGATCTCATTTGTAGAAACCGCAGAGATGACATCATCGACGAAACGTTTCCAAAACGATAGGGACACCGGAACAGAGGCTAAAGCTCTTTGTTCGACATCTTCCATTACTAAATTAGCAATTACTGCCGAAACTGGTGACCCCATCGCTGTTCCAAAAACCTGTTGATAATAACAGCCCTCAAACACAAAGTATGTGGCGTTGAGACAAAAAGACAGAAGATCAATAATATCTTCTACAGGCAAGGATGTTCTTTGTAACAAAGTGGCATCCTGTCTTAGTCTTTTTGCCGCAACCTTGATGGCAAGATCAACTGGGATATTTGTAAACAAGGAAACGACATCAAATGATACCAACACTTGATCTGCTTTAAGAGTTTTACCTCTTACAAATTCTGCAAAATGACAGGAATTTTTGACAGTGTTTTCGGTATTTCCCACCACAGGGGACAAAATTTTCGCCAAAAAACTTGAAACTCCATATGTAGGAGAATTCACAAAGGACACAATAGGTCTCAATGGAATTTCCGGTTTATGGATTTTCGGTAAACCATAGAAACGCGGAGATAGTCCATCACTGCTGTATAACTTTTCATATGTAGCCTTCTGTCTTTCATATGTAGATCTTCTGTCTTTTTGTCTCAACGCCACATACTTTGTGTTTGAGGGCTGTTATTATCAACAGGTTTTTGGAACAGCGATGGGGTCACCAGTTTCGGCAGTAATTGCTAATTTAGTAATGGAAGATGTCGAACAAAGAGCTTTAGCCTCTGTTCCGGTGTCCCTATCGTTTTGGAAACGTTTCGTCGATGATGTCATCTCTGCGGTTTCTACAAATGAGATCGATATTCTGCTGCAACATTTAAATTCTATTGAGCCGTCCATCCAATTCACGGTAGAACGTGAAATAAATGGACATTTAGCTTTTTTAGATTTGAATGTACACAGAACTGTCGAAGGGAAGTTAGAGACTGATGTTTATCGCAAACCCACACACACAGACAAATACTTGTCATACGACTCTCATCACCCAGTAAGCCATAAAAGATCCGTAGCAAAAACTTTGCTTCAAAGAGCTGAATCGTTGCCGTCAAACAGTGATTCTCAAGTTAATGAACGTGAATATGTTCTAAATGTTTTAGGGGAAAACAATTACCCAAAGCGTTTTCTTAATGATTGCCTCAGACCACCTGTTTGTAGGAACCAAAATAACTCCGAGGGTGATACCTCTGTAAAGGGTTTTGCAATAGTTCCATACATTCAAGGTGTCACAGAACCAATCAAGAGAATCTTAAGTAATTGTAATATTAAGGTTGCCTTAAAACCCTATTTGACCTTAGGCCATATTTTCGCAAAGCCAAAAGATCCTGTTGAAAAAAATCAGAAGACTCATGCTATATATTCTATCCTAATTAATTATATAAAAGTTAAAAATAGTTAAAAAGACATCTATTTATAAAGGATCGTTTAAATCGCTCCGTTTTAATTTGAGGTAAAATAAAGTTATGTTCCCTTTGTCTTAAGATCCTTTGTTTACACACAGGAAGCAATTCATGTAGGGCATGTTCTGGATTCGATACGATTTTGCTGAATAATTTTCTGTCTCTCTCCTCGATCACTTCAGATATCTTAATACTCTTTGTCGTATATCCATAACGATAAGCCCGCCGGAAAAACTTGTCTATACGATCCAAATATTTCTTTTGGAGTGCAGAGCCCCACACTTCAATGCAATAGT